TGATGATCACCATGAACTCTGTACCTCTATTCCTCAACCTGGAATCAAAGATAAAATATTTTACATTGTATAAGAGTTTGATATTTTTGACAAATGTAGATATAAGGTAAACATGGAGGGCAGCTAAATTGCCTAAGACAACTGAATTCTCTGTTCTTCTGGATTGTTTTGTGCTTCCTCTTCTGGGAATCTCATAAACCAAGATTTAAATGTCATGGGAAAGTGGAAGTGAATACACTGTTCTTTAAGGTAAGTCATCTGGAATTGAATGGTTATGGTATAGTAATAATATTTCATATTTATGCAATGCCTTTATGCCCTGAGTCACCTCATGAACAAGTAGTTCAATTATGTCATAAAAGACAATGCCAGTTACAACAAAGCATTGTGTAAAGATTTTGAGGATTACTGAGGCCCAAAACTTACAAACTCCATAATGACTAACTATATTTAAAGAGACACCTTCATGGTCCTCCTGGAGATATCATTGTCTTTTGAGGCTATGGGGTGACATTGCAGTAATCACTCAGAGCATTCTGATGTGGCCAACCCAAGAAAAATTAAGAAATAGGTCAAATTGGACTTTGGAATGCTTCCAGAGACAATTGATTTCCTTTATTCTCAGAAACAAGTTCTTGGCACCCTCCCTTACCCAGGGATTTTTCCTTCCTTCCCCTAAAACATTTATTCCTCCTTGCCTCACCTCGAGTTGATTGATTGAAGGACAGAGCCCCACCCATAGTGGCCAAAAGAGGTCTACCCTTCTCATTAATATTTCTGCTGTTCTGCTGACACCATGCATTGATTCATTCATTCTTCACTTTTATTTTTCTTACACTCATTTACTTATTCATTCCCTCACTCAATCACTTATACATTCAATAAGCATGAGTTGAATGTCCACTGTAAACTACAAAGTACACATTGTATTTTGCAAACAATAGGAAAGATGTAGTCCCTGTACTCATGGAGTCTATAGTCTATCTGAAAAGACAAACATTAAACACAAAGCACTCAAATAAGTATTTAATTAAAATATTGATACATGCTGCAAAGGAAAAATGCAGAGTTCTGAGAACGTGTAAAGTAACCTGAAGATGTCTGGCCAAGAGAAATTTAAGGCTCTGATGTTTTTTATTTGGTCTAGCCTCTCATCAACACGCTGAAACCTGCCAGTCTTGCATCTCACACCTTTAGGACAGAGCTCCCTAGACCTTTTAAAAGGCAATTAGCTAATGTGATTCATCATCATATAGGTCATAGTATTGATATGTGGTGGGAAAAGCTCCTGGAGATATCTGCAGAAGGACATCTTCTCTGATCAACCCCTTACGTTCATACCAAAGAAGATATCAAGCCCCTCAGGTGTCCATAGATCGGTATCTCTAACTGGGAGAATGTGAGGTCAATTATGGTGGGAGAGCTGATGGATGAGCTAATTTGGACAAAGTGGCTCATGCTGCTTGCATTATCTTTCCCTGGGGTTGGACCTGACAGTGAGCTCACTGGTAGACAGACATCCCTGAGGCTTCCCAGGTCTCACAACCCGCCCATATCAGAAGAGAGTTCCTGAGAAAAATTGCAGTGCTCAGACCCTGTAGGCCACCTTCTGTAGATCTTCACAGAAGGCCCTCACCGTTATCTCTTGGCTTTGGGCTACCTAATGAGATAGTCTTCACTGGAGTCATAAAAGCCTAGAGGAATCCAGAATGACACTCAGCAGCCAGCAAGCAGGACCCATCCGGGCACAATGTGAGGCAGTTCAACTCCAATGTCCCCCTACAATGTTCTATGTCTCTTCATTCTAAACACCCAATGTCACAGGCAATGCCCACTTGGTGTCACCTGTTTGACACTCAAAAGCCTACCTTGTTAGGTCCCACTAGTCAAAACATTATCCACACCTCCTAATCAAAATTTATCTATCCTCTGCCCATTCTCTCAAAAACCTACAGTTTGCAACATACAGTTAATTGTTAGATCCATTAAGAAGTCAGCCAGTGTAAATAAATTAAACAGTTGGCTCTGTTGTACCCCAATATCCTTCAATGAAATGCCTTCTCTTTCCTTTACACGTCAACTTTTCTGGGCCTCATTGTTCTGTGACTGAAATGAAGGATTTGACCCAGATGGTCTTTGGGTTCCTTTTCTGCTCCTCTAATCTATTTATATAAGCAGATTGTAAAGGTTTAATCAAATAGCAGTATTCTCACTGATGTGCTTCTCCTTCCAGGAGCGATAATGCTCCTAGGGCTACAACTCTTCCCAACTTGACGCCAGCTAGCAAAGCATCTCATAATCTGCCTTTCACTAGAATCTGTCCCCATCACTAGAACCCTTCCCTTCTTTTATAAGTTCCTCAAATGCATCCTGTTTTTCCAGGCCTCAAAAATGTGCATAATCTGTCCCTGCTGTTTGAAAGAAGGTTCTACAATACCTTGTCTTTTTTTTCTTTAATTGGAAAGTCATTCAAACCTATACAAACCTACAAAAACAGTGCAGAGAACAGTATAACAGACATCCATTTACCCACAACTCAAAATCAACACACCTATATTTTCCACATATCTCTTTGAAAGAAGAAAAAGTTGCAGACCCAGTTGAAAACGCTACTTTTATTCTGTTTTCTTCCCTAGAATTGTGTCTGCATTGTGTCTTTTGCTTTTACCTTATATGTATGTGCTTGTAAATATTATTTAGAATTGTTCTGTGGGATTGTCACTGTTACATATATGGAGTATTGTGTGCATTGATTTGTTATTTGCTTTTTTTTCGGTCAACATATTTTCTGACATCAGCTATGTTGCTAACATGCAAAATCAGTTCACTTAAGCTTCTATTTCCATTATGTGAATATAGCCTAATTTAATGATTCATTCTCTTTTTCTTCTCAACGTATATTTATTTCCAATTTTGTGCCTTTCCAAACAACACCACAGGAAGAATCCTTTTGAATGTTTTCTTGGCCATGTGTGAGAGTTTCTTTCAAGGATATATGCCTAAGTATAGGATTACTGGGTCAAAGATATGTATTTTCAATTTTACTGGATATTTGCAAATCATATAAATGACTAAAAATTCGTATGAAGACTATAAAAAGAATTCCTAAAAATGTGTAAAAAAAAAGATCCAATAAAAAATGAAGAAAGATATAAATAAGTAACTGAATAAAAAGAAAGCCCATTTGGTCAATAAATATTAGAAATGTGTTTAACTCAGTAGCAGGCAGGGACATGCACATTTAAACAAACCAACAAACAAGCCAAAAAATTGGCTACTATTTCATACATATCAATGTAGCAAAAATTACAAAGCCTGAGAAAAGAGGATGCTGGGGCTGGAGTTAAAAGAGTCATCCTACAAGATAATGAAGTAAGTTACTTTCTCTGGGTCTTTGTTATTCCATCTATAAAAGAAAGATGATCTTTAAGAATCCTGCAAGCCCTAACATTTCCTTACCCTCCTCCCTCTGTTCAATTAAATATGATCCTACCTGTCCCGAATTCAGTAATGAAGGAGACATATTATTTGTCTCACCCAGGAGGAGAGGCTCTGCTAGTATGGTGGACGCTGTTTTGCTGTATTCATTTGTTCTTTTCTTTTCCTAAAATATTTATTAGCTGCCTACTACATATTGGACATTTGACAAGTCACTGCCCTTCCAGTGGAGGAAGAGTGAAAAATAGAAACTCCTAATGAGACAATCCTACATGCACACAGGGACTGTTATGATGTGTGATGGGCAGGAGTGTACAGAGGCAGCAGGAGAGGCTAAAGCCAGAGCTGAAACATTAGAGAAGGATTTCTAAACACAGCCACGTCTAGACAAGACTTGAAGGTTGAGTAGCATTATCCACATACAAGGAGGAGCAGACACAACCAGACAAAAAGCAACAAACAGCACGAAGGAGTATCAAGAAGTAAAAGAGAGTATCTGAAGGGTGCCATTCAAGAGGTAAAGGGTAAAGAGATAAGGCCATAGGGTGTACAGATCCCAAGAAGGAACAGACCTTGGAAACTATGTTAAAAGGCTTAGTTTTTATCCTAAGAGCAAGGGAGTGCCATTGATGCATTTAAGGCAGCAGAATGGCAGGTCTGAGTTATAGATTAGAAAGGTCAGTCTCCAAGGTCGAGGGCAAGGAGTCCAGCTAATAATCCAGGCAGGAGACGATGCAGAGCACGTGTTACAAGTGCCTGAAAAGATGGAGTGAGATCAGTAGATCTAAGAGATTTGGGAGAGGTAGAATCAAAGAGACCTGGTTTGATTAGATGTTTGATTCAGTGGGAAGTCAGCAAAGGGGAAGAATCAGAAGACTCTCAGGTTTATGGCTTAAACAAATGTGGTAAAGATGATGCTATTTGTTGAGATGCAGATCACAAGTCACAGGGCGAAAGGGGCTGTGTATCTGATGACAGTCTGGGGCAGGCTGAGGTTGAGGTATATGGGGGACATCCCAAAGCAGCTGTCTAGTAATTAGTTGGATACGTGACTCTGAAGCCCTGATGAGTAGTTTTGCCTCGAGATTTTGATTTGGGACTCCTCCCTCTATAGTAGGCAATTGAAACTCCGCTGGTAGATAACATTATCTCGCTAAAATATCTAGAATGAGAAGAAAAGCAAAGGAGACTGAGAACAAGTTGTCAGAGGGGTGGGGAAAAAACAGGAAAATACAGTTTTATACACACACACACATACACACATAAAAGTAACAAGTGTCAACAGCTACTGAGATCCACTAGAATTTTCTATCTCTAAATATAGGTATCTATTTTTTCTTAAAGGTTGGTCTTAGCAAGACTGACTTTTCAGGGAAGTCCCATGATGGTTTGTGGACTCACCCTGCACCAGAGCTGGCTTGAAGAAATCAGTCTATGGCTATAATGGGGCATTGAGACAAACTGTGGAGAATTTGCCTCCCAATTTCTGCCACCCCCTAGTAGCGCCTGCCCTGGTAGAAAGTGTCATTTCTGGCTTCACCATACTTGTCACTCACACCTACCTGGTCCCAGTGGGAGAGGCAGCTCTCAACCAACTTGCTCTGCTGTGCCAAATAAGAGCGAACAGGGAGCTCACAGGTGATGCTGTAGAGAGAGGTAAGGAAAACATCCTGAGACACAGAATGTGATGGCACATTTAGGAATTTAGCCAAAATGATAAGGACAGCTCTCTAATTTAAGAAGGAAAAATAAAAAGTCAACTGAGAATTGCTCTGGGACTGAATTCAGAAAGTACCAAGAACTGTTGCCTCTAAAAGGGCACTTTCTCTGCAGACAGTGCCAGCCTTGCTAGCTCTGAATTCCTCCAAAGAAAAGTGGGGCCCAGCAGAGTGTTCCCCTGCTTCTTTAACCCCTTCCAAGCCACCATATGGTCTCAAACTACCCTGCTAGTCCAGTCAGCCACTCACCAACCAAGCATCCAGGTCACTGTTCACATCAAGACCTGGACATCACTGCTCCAACTACGAAAACACAAAGGATCGAACTGAAAAAAAGGAAAACACTTTGATTTGTGTTTGTTGCCTCTCTACTACGAACTGCACACATTTCAAAGGCAGGCACGGATGGCAACTTCAAGCAATTCTGCCAAAGTGAAGTCATCAGGACGGTGGCCTCGACAAAGCAAGAAGTGGATGAAGGAAGGGGTGATGACGATCCTGAGGTTCTAGAAAATGGAAAGTAGAGACCTTGATCTCCCCAAGACATTTCCAGTCATAAAACAGCAGGAGGGAACACACACAATGACAATGTTTGTCAAAACACTGTCACTCGCGAAGTGTGTGTTCTAAGAGGTTAAGAGGAAGAAAGGGGTGGGCACGGTGCATAGAAAGTTTCAGTCGTGTTTTCAAATCACTCACGGGGTGGAGGTGCTGAAAGGCCTGCTGGCCGGGGATTTATGCATAATCGGATCATTCAAAACACAAATGGCTGCCAGAGCAAAGTACAATGTTCACTGTTGAAATCACAAAAAAAGCTTTGTTTTAAGTAGGCTGACTCGACTGAAGTCGAGTTTCAGCGCAGCGTGTTTTTGCTTTGGGTGTCATTATTTAGTTTGGCATCCATGCCAAGGAAACCTTTCTCTTACTTCGACGGTTGTTTTTTCTTCTGCTGCTACAACTGTGAATGTCGAGGCAAGATCTTGCTGCTACATATTTAAATGAGGACTGGTTGGTTCCCTGTTTACCTTTGATTCCGATGAAGGGAGTGGGGGAGCATGGGGTCTTGACTGCTTGCCAGGACTTGTAAAGCTGAGAGATGTGTGCCTTGTCTCTTGAATCATCTGGAAAATCAAGTTTAGCTGGTTTGATCAAAGGGTTTGCAAGTCAGTTGAGAACACTTGCATGCAATAACTATAGATAATGCATACATCGACCAGCCAAAGGCCAAAAAGCTAATAGCTTTGCCAGCGATAAAGGATTATGTATGTTATGCTTGTGAATACCAAAGAGAGGAATTCTCCGCTTTAATATGGATGGCTAAGGTTTGCACTGGTTAGACATTCAGACCAACAAAATAGTCTAAATCTTGGGGACTTAAGTCAGGACGAGATACTTTTAAAATCCGGCTGCTATCTGCCCATTTAAATCCGGTGTGGAGTGAAGGAATAAACGACACGCTTCCTACCGACAGTTCATCAGGAGAGAGGGGAGTAGTTTTACATAGTTGTGAGTTGAGGTCGCCTCATTTTGGGGGAGTCCTTTTTCAGTCCCTGTTTCTGGCTACGGCACCTGCAGAGACAAGACAGCTTTGATGGAGATTGATGTAGAAAGGGCCTGGCACGCATTCTTTTTTTGGACGTCCTCCTTTGGGGCAAGTTGGTCACGTGGGAAAAACTTGATTTCTCAGCCAAGAAATGACTCCCTGGATTAGAAACCTGTCTCTCATGATGGGAGAGATTAGAAAAAAACCCTAAAACCGAAAAAGATCCTTCAAATCATCTGCTTTTGGTCTTTTCTGTGAATTCCGCATCATATGATTGGGTCTCCTGTGTTTATTTCAAGTCCAATGTTTTATTTTGATTTAACCCACTTAAAAGATAGCATGCCTCTTGGCAAAGTGATACACAACGAATTAACTACACCTTCAGTCAGTATTTCTTATTTTTTAAAGGTAATATTAAATAATTCCCCCCAAAGTTAGCCACTCAGTGCCTGGGTGTGAGTGAAGAGCATTGTGGCTGCCTGACTGTCACTGCATTTCCTAATGTAAACACTGTTTAGTTACTATTGTGAAGCCTCATGAAGCAACTGTTGGGGAAAGCTTTAAAAACACAGACACACACACGCACTTGGCGCACTGACCTGGCATTAAACTAAATCACAGGTATGGCGGTGACATATGTAAACAAATCTGCCGGTACAAGTTACCAAATGTTATGTGCCGCGCTCCATCATAGGCAATGCATTATTCAAGTTTTGTACTAATTAAAGAACTACTTTGTTACTAAGAATCAGTGTATTAAAAAACGTAAGTTCTTATTAACTGCTTTCCCAAGAGTTAGAAAGATGAGAGGTGGCTCTCAGGTTTCAGGGACCTATTATTAGGTTCTCAAAGTATTTTCTTAATCGCATGCATTTTTTAAGAGAAAGCTCTGAGTCCGTATCACATAAACAAGGTCTGATTGTGGGGTTTTAAATGGCTATCTTGGGGTTTTCTTCCTTCCACGTTGTTTTTCCTTCTCACGCCACCAAATTTCACTTCTCGGAATCGGGACCTGAACCAAAGTTAAACATCATAAAGAAATTTGCTCAGTAAAACAGGGCTTTTATTGACTGAAAAGCATTTTTATAGTGTAATCTGCGTTTTTTGTAAGTCCTGGTGAAAAATCCTCTTTGAGTGAGTGGTACTTAAAGATTTAAAAACACACGTTTGCCCAGGAAGATTTCATAAATTGAAGGAAGGGGACAGAAGGGAAAAGAGCTGAGATATCTGGCCCCCTAGTCTGTTATCACCAGAAGAACATGAAGGCTGCCTTATAAAGGGCTGCCCTGCAAGCTTGGCCTCATCACTCAGCCTGAATGCAGATCTGCGGGCAATGCTTGCTCTCTGCCCAACAGTGAAATCTGCTAAGACCAGGACGGCAGTACCACCTCTGCTCTAAGGACCCTGGCCCGGATTCTCTGTCCGCTCACATTTACATTCATATTTTCTCCTTCCTCTCAGTCCTCCTCACTTTTCACCCATCACCCAAAGTTTTTCCCTTTAACACTTGTTTTGTTTTGTTTTACTTCTCAAGACTCATTTAATCTAACAACTTGGCTGGGAGGGTATAGCTCCGTGGTAGAGCACATGCTTATCATGCATGAGGTGCTGGGTTCAATCCCCAGTACCTCCACTAAAAAATAAATATTCAATCAATTTCTTCATCCGGGGTTTTCAGGATCCCAGGGTCCACAGGGCACCCCCTTTCTCTTAACCTGAAATGGTTGCGCCACAAAAGCCCCTCTGTCCATTTCCCTGATAACCCTCAGCCCATGGCTCAGGACCTGCCGTTCTCTTGTTTTCTGACTCACACATGCGAGTCATTTGTAGAAATGAGAGGAGATTCAGTGTCACTCTTTCTCACTTGCACCTTGATGGACTTTCTTGAGTGGGTGGGAATTAGGTGAAATTACAGTTAATTTGTCAGAAATTGTGTACTCCCTTGAGAGCGCAGAACACATGAATATTCTCAATCATGTGTGCACGGTGGAAAATTTTGAGAGTCAGTGCTGAGGCATGTTCCGCTGCCTTATTTTTACTAAATTTGCTCTATATTTTAAATTCTGTGCTCTTATTTGAAGCACCCTTTCCGGTCTTTCCTCTGAGGCTGCTTGATGGTCTTCAGTCAAATGGAGTCTCTGATCTCCAAACATACCCACCAGTCAACCCCATCTCTCTGTTTCAGATTAATTCCTTTCTTCTCTTGATCCAATTCCTTCTCTTCCTTTAAACCTCTCCAATCTTCTTCCTGTTCTATCTCTTATTTTTTAACCTATTATGTCTTCTTTATTAATTTTTTATTGAAGTGTAGTTGATATACAATGTTAGTTTCAGGTCTACAGCAAAGTGATTCAGTTATACATATGCATACATATATATTTTTTCTTTTCAGATTCTTTTCCATTATATGTTATGACAAGAACTTGAATATTGAGCTATCATTTTTAAAACTATATAGAGCTCTCTAACAGTCCCATAAATCAAATTCTGCTTATCTCTGTGCTTTTAATTTGTTGTGTTTTTTTTTTTTTTGCCATCTTCATCATCGTCCCAAAAGATTAATGCATGCCACAAACATGGATTGGCACTAAATAATGTCTGCCTTCCATGTTATTGCCTGCTTTCTCCCTAGCACCAGCTTGTGGTCACTTTTCTTTCCTAAATAACCTTCTGCCTCTGTACTCATCCGTTTACAACCTCCCTTCCTGCGTGCCCCTCGCTCCCTCCGTTCCTGGTGCTATTCCCACTTTCTTGAACTTTGTCAAGAGTTTTTTATTCTCAAATTGCTTTCTTTATTCTCTCTCATCCTCCTTTCAAGTTTCAGAGGATTTGCTTTGTGTATCCCTTTACCTCCAAAACTTTCCTCCTCTCTCCTCTGATGTAGATTCCAACCTGGGAAAAAGACATCCTAATTCCAAACCTATCAACACTTGGAATAGCAAACGACAAAGCAAAGACATAACTTCTTTTTTCCTTCAGAAAAAGTCTTTCTGTACATTTTTCCCAATATTGTTGGCAGCAAAATAAATACTATATTTTTCCTTGAAATTGTAACTTTAAATAAGTTCTGAAGCTTCACATTTTTTCCCATAAACTCATCAATTATGTCTTCCAGAGCATCATTTTACAGATTTTCCCTTTTGCTGAGCTGATTTAGTGATTTGGCATTGGGTGGAGGAACAATGACTACTTTCAACACACACATGAGTTTATCCTTAAAACAGGATTTATTCAGTCATGGATTGACTTATGTTTGAAAGCTAATTGTTGATTTCACATAAGCAGAATAATTGTAACCTACAGCTCAGTAAGCAGTGTGTGCCCTGATTAGGCATTCAATTATCTTATTAAAATATTGACACCTAGAATTTTTTAGAAAATGTTTATTTTATATTAATAATACTTTCTACTATCAGATTTAAAAGTTCCCCAATGAAAACCTTGAACCTATAACTAAATGTCATACTTTATTTTTGATCATACATGTCTAGATTGTAAGTTCAGAAAAGACGTAAGTCTACAACTAGTACTGAATTTAAAAAATAAACTATGAACATATTATAGACTTCTGAAACTCAACATGTACCAAACTGAGTCATAATTTTTTTCCTTAAATTTTATCTAATTCTATGGCTATTTCTATGCAAATTCTTCCCAGATCTTTACCTTAAACCCTATGTTCTTCCTAAGCTACAGATGGGGATTCCAGCTGCCTATTGCCCACCTTCACCTAAAACTACCCTTGCAAACAGTGGATCACAAATGAAGTCCTCCTCCCAACATGCTGCTCATATGGACGCAGCCTGTAAGAACTCCAAGCTCGGTTTGATCCAAATGCTACAGGGGCATAAAGAAGGAGGACCATATGCATCAGAGGTGTGGAGGAAGAATTCACCTGAACGTGTTTATTGGCACTGATTTTTGAAGGATAAGCTGGAAGTCCCAGGACAAAATTTACACACACACACACACACACACACACAAGAAAGCGTGATCAAAGCAGATTCATAAGACCCATTATCAATGCTCTTGTTCCAATACCACCAAGTCTTCTCTGGACTTCAGACTAGCCTTAGCTCCAGGAGCTATAGAATCCAACCCATCACCACATGGATTTATCTCTAACCATTTTCTATCAAGACTCTAGATACATGTGCCCCAATGTTCACAGCAGCAATATATACAATAGCCAAAACAAGGAAGCAACTTAAATATCCATTCACAGATGATTGGATAAAGTAGTTGTGGTATATATACACAATGGAATACTACTCAGCCATAAAAAAGAGAATTAATGCCATTTGCAGTAACATGGATGGACCTAGAGATTATCATACTAAATGAAATAAGTCAGACAAAGAAAGACAAATATTATATGATATCAAGTATATGTGGAATCTAGAAAAATGACACAGACAGACGTATTTACAGAACAGAAACAGACTCACAGACATAGAAAATAAACATGGTTACCAAAGGAAAAGGGATGGGAGATAAATTAGGAGTTTAGTATTAGTAGATACTAACTACTGTATACAAAATAGATAAACAACAAGGACCTACTGTATAACACAGGGAACTACATTCAATGACTTATAGCGGCTTATGGTGAAAAAGAACATGAAAAAGAACATAATAGAATCACTTTGCTGCTGTACACCAGGAACAAACGCAATATTGTAAATCAACTATACTTCAATAAAAAAATGTTTTAAAGGACTCAATCTGCCAGCCAAATCTAAATCCTCTCCTTCATGTTACTCCTTTGCTCAGAAAGCCCTTTATCTCCTCTCTTCTT